CGCATGGAATATTAACACAGCATAACGTTCACGGAAATTCTAAGGCTTTATACAAAGATGTTTTATTTAAATATAAAACACACACATAAGTATGACGATTTACTTACACATACTAGGCCTTGTTTCAATTCAGTTTTACAACAAATCTTTTAGAAAATATTGGATTTTCTGGAAACAAACTTGTAACGAACGTCAAGGAAACAACATTCATTTTTATAAAATACTTGTGAACTCACCAGCTTTATGCTGATACTCTCTTTTCAAAACAACTTGTATTCTCAGGTAATCAGTAATACAGGTAACCGCAAGATTTCTGAAGTCAAGACACTAAGGCGTAGATTATTTTGCTACACTTTATCATCATATGTAATTTAATTGGAAACATGTATTTTGGAACATGTATTTTGGAAACAATGTAATCTTTTAAATTATATCTATGATGGTTGTGTGTTACTTTCTTCACTATAGTTATGATACTGAGCATGACGTCATCCGCCCCCGAACGTTTCCGCCGTTCTGGTTTGGGGGTGTGACAACAGATCACGATGGATTTTATTACCAAGTTGCCGAGGACGGCAAAGGGGTTTGATGTTATATGGGTCATCGTGGATCGATTGACCAAGAGCGCCCACTTCTTGGCTATACGGGAGAGCACATCGGCCGAGAAATTGGCCGAATTGTACGTTCGCGAGATCGTGTCTCGCCATGGGGTTCCTGTCTCCATTGTCTCTGATCGGGATGCCAGGTTTACCTCCCGTTTCTGGCAAAAGTTTCACGAGGAGCTGGGCACGCGGTTGCACTACAGTACACCATTCAACCCACAGACAGACGACCAGAGCGAACGGACTATTCAGACCCTCGAGGACATGTTGAGGGCGTGCGTCATTGATTTCGGTGGGAGTTGAGATTCTCACCTACCGCTTGCGGAGTTTGCCTACAACAACAGCTATCATTCTAGCCTTGGGGCCCCGCCATTCGAGCTATTGTACGGGCGGAGATGTCGCACCCCGGTCTGTTGGGGCGAAGTTGGACACAGAGTGATGGGTAGTACGGAGGTAGTCTTGCAGACTACCGAAAAGATCCAGCAGGTTAGACAGCGTTTGCAGACCGCTCAGAGTCGGCAGAAGAGTTATGCCGACAGACGCCGATCTGAGTTGGAATTTCAGGTGGGTGACATGGTACTCCTGAAGGTCTCGCCCTGGAAAGGCGTGACTCGCTTCAGGAAGAGGGGAAAATTGGGTCCCCGATATATTGGGCCGTTCAGGATCATTGCCAGGATTGGCAAGGTGGCTTACAGGCTAGAGCAGCCGGAGGAGCTTAGTCGGATACACAGCACTTTCCACGTTTCGCAGCTGCGAAAGTGAATCATGGACCAGGAGGCAGTAGTATCGCTGGATGATATTCAGGTCGATGAGCGCCTGAGCTATGTGGAGAGACTTGTGGCCATTTTGGAGATGAAGAGGAAGATTCTGAGGAATAAGGAGATATCTTTGGTGAAAGTACAGTGGGAGCATCGAAGGGGGTCCGAGTGGACGTGGGAGACGGAGGCCGAAATGCGGGAGCATTACCCGGAGTTATTCGCTGCAGCAGACTTCGAGGACGAAGTCTAGTTCAAGTGGGGGAGAATTGTAACGCCCCGATTCCAGGTATGGATTTAAATAAAAGGTTAGTTGGTTTAATGTCCTACTCGACGAGTTGGTTGCCCTACTCGTCGAGTAGCAGCGGGGTTGGAACGCGTGTTTGACCTACTCGACGAGTCCACTAAGGGACTCGACGAGTAGGAGCTGACAGATGAAACCCTAAATCTCGTGGTTTTGCACCCTATTTAAGGAATGATAAGCCTCCTATGGCCTCTTTGCAGTCTTTGAGAGCCCCATTAAACCCTAATACGTGTGTGTGTGTGTGCCCATTTGTGTGTTTGAAGCTTGAAGAGAGGATCCTTAGAGGGAGAAGGCTTAGAGGAGAAGGAGATTGGAGCAAGTACAGTGTGGGAATCAACTCTTATCTCAGTTATCATCTTCTGGAGATAACCAAATCGCCTTTTCTTTGTGAATCTCTTCTATTGGTTGAGTTTTAGGGTTTTTGGTGAGATATTAAGTTGGAAAGATGAGCTATGGGCTAGATCTGAGGTTGTAACTTCATATCTGGACCCTCCTTGGATTCTATAAGCATAAAGTTTCAGTTTTGGTCATGATTAAGGTCCCTCTTGAGCATGAAGTTCCATTAAGAACTTAAAATAGGCATTTAGAGCCTTTATAGCCATGCATGCACGTAAAGTAACTTTACGTGATAAGCATGCCCTAGAAGCTTGGATCTGTGATTTGGAGCCGCTGCATGGCTCAAAACAAGTCTGTATGGAAAAAGGACTGAATGGACTCAGCGAGTCGCAAGGTTGACTCGGCGAGTCACATGAAGATGGCCGTGAACTCGACGAGTTGGATGAACAACTCGGCGAGTCCGATGAAGATTACCATAAGACTCGGCGAGTTGAAGAACAACTCGGCGAGTCGGATGAGTTTTCCCCAAGTTATGAATGTGTGTGTGTCCGTCGTGTGCAAAATGGAAAACTCGACGGGTGGCCTTAGAGTTGGTCGAGAATCGGAGAAACTCGACGAGTCACCTCGATGACTCGGCGAGTGGGATAGTGCTTCAAGGAACTCGATGAGTAGCTGAGGGTACTCGGCGAGTAAGGTCAACATGGACTGTTGACCTTGACTGAGGACTTTTGACTTTGACCAAGGGTTGACTAGTGCGTTATGGAGTACCTTATAAGGTTAAGGACTTATGAGTATATTGTGCTATGGTATTAGGTGGTGGAGCCTGCGCCAAGTGATTCGAGAGTTGGGTTTTATCTTTCGGGTCGACATTTGCGAGGTGAGTTATCCTCACTATACTAAGGGGTCTAAGGCACCAAGGCTGGCCCATTGGATATGTTATCCTAGCAGTGTTCGACGTTGAGTATGAGTTAGTTTTGCATGATAGTGGTTATGCCAATTAGGTAGACCTGTAGGACTACCTGTGATGTTATGTGATTATTGCATGCTCAGTGGTTATGATATGTGTTTGTTATATGGGATGGGTTGAGGTTGTACTGCTTCGTGCGGTAGCCAACAAACCCTAGGAGCATTCCAGTTACGGGCTAATGGAGACCCGTACTGTGGGCTCGGGAGCATTCCAGTTACGGGCTAAGGGAGACTCGTACTGTGGGCTCGTGGGTATTTCAGTCTGTAGGGCTGTGGACCCGTTATGTGCTGTTCTGTTCAGTTTGTTATGATATGTTATTGCTGACATGGTTATGTGGACTGTATGTGTATCGGTATTTTGGGGGTAACTCACTAAGCTTTCGGGCTTAAAGTTTCAGTTTATTGTTTCAGGTACATCAGGAGATCGTGGCAAGGCGAAAGCATGATCGTACAGCTCCTCCTGTTATGTTTATGTTCCTGGGAATACTCTGATAGAATGTATTTTGAAAACAAAGTTGTAATGTTTTGATGAACTTGACATGTTTTGAAAGTTTAAATTTGTTCGAAAATTTTTGGGTGTTTCATAAAAAGTATAAATCACGGAAAAATAAGTATAAACAATGAAATGCGTACCTTTTTGCCTTTGATTAACTAAGCTAACAATTGTTTACTGCTATAAAGGGCTGTACAAAGGAAGAAGTATTGATTTAGTATCGTGAATATCAATATAAACGAAGAAGTAAAAACATAGATAAAACACAATAAAAACCATCCTTTTGCAGGAGCGTGGAAGGAAAAAAAATGGGTTTCGGCGGAATATGTCATATATATGTATTGAATCCAAGTTGGTTTTGGAGGGATAAGATAAAAGTCATTTTTATCTTATCCCTTAAATGTTGAATTTCAAAATGTAGTTAGGATAGATTATGTAGAAAATTTTAGGATTATTTTTTAAAATTTAAAATTAGGATAATGTTGATGGTTAGTTTGGAAAAAAAGATAATTTTTGTAACAGCCCAAGAATATATTATTTACCAAAACAGCCCATGACTTTACATTTAATACCAAACAGCCCCTACTATAGATTGTTTATTATGTAAGCATTTTACAACCATAATTAATAAGATATAATTAAATGACCGGATTTGAAATTGATAAGGGTACATGATTTTGAAAAGATTTAAAGATAATATTTCCTTATTAAACGATTTAATCATAAATGTCTGGAATTTTATATATTGAAACATGATATATATATATAATATATTATATATATATATTATATATATATATATTATATTTTTTGGAATGTGTTTATGATTGACGATATAATTGGAATGATAATCTGCATAAATAAGAATAAAAAGATTCATGAAAGAAATTAAAATTTGTAGAGTATGTGCTCGTGTTGACAATTATACCATTGGTCATAAGGAAATTACATTTAAACTTAAAACAAATTGACAATAATAGACTTGGTAAACATAGTTTGTTATTTAAACTTAAAACAAATTGACAATAATAGATTTGGTCAACATAGTTTGTTACGAACAATAAAAAAAAATTATTGTTATAAAATCTTGTTTGTGGAATAACAAACTCAGTGGCTTAAGCCAAAGATTAAGGAGATTACCTTTAAAATTAAAACAAATTGACAATAATAGACTTGGTCAACATAGTTTGTTATTTAAACTTAAAACAAATTGACAATAATAGACTTGGTCAACATAAACATAAGTTGAGGGGAAAATATATCAAAATGTAATAGTTAAAATTCATAAAAAGAATTCAACATAATTATGAACTTGTCTCAAATAACATGACTACTATCGTGTTATAATTAAATGAAACAAAACATAATCTTCAAAATGAAAACAACGTACTTGTCAAAGAAATCCTTAAGCAAATAATAAAAACTCAAAGAAAAATCGTCAATGATAAATGTCAAATAATCATAACTGCTAAATTTATTCGAGTTTTTCCATTTTTGGAATCTTAAGGGTATGAAGAGCAACACCATCTTTTGAGGAAGAGCATTCAACGATTCAGTGGTGGAACAATCTCAATAGGCCGTTTCAGTGAAGTTGTTGTCGGTGTCACTGCATCAAGATTAACAACATTAATATTGTCACCTTCAACAGAAACACTCTTTTCCTATATCAAATTAATAAAACAATGTTAATTAACAACATTAATATTGTCACCGCATCAAGAATAAATGTTTATTAACAATGTTAAAATGCTAAATTATATGAATTTAATTTTACCTTAATATACTTGTTGATAGGAGTACCATTAGAATGAATATTGTTTTCTTCGTATGCAGATGAATGTTTGAAAACTGCACCAACTACAACTTCATCATCAGTCATCTTATGAACGGTGTAGGCGTGATAGTTGTTCTCGAGATTAAACTTTGAAATATAACTTTAAAACAACTTCCTATTAAGCATGGTATTGAACTCATCAGGGATCTTTTGGCGTCCTTGATCCTACAGAATATTATAATAAAACATGTGAGTAGTTAATAAATCCCGATTAAAATAAAATGCAATAACAATATACAGTTAACTTGTCGTGTGTACAAATTAAAAGAATAGTATAATATAACGCTACCTTTGATATCTTTTCCATCAACCAATGATTACCGCGGTGAATAAGATCTTTAACATGACGGTCAAACAATACAAAAGAAGCAGACCCAGTTTCATCTTGAACACGTATTACCACCCTTACCTTAAATATTATTGTATGACATATTAGTGGACAATGAAATAAAAATTGAAACATTGTAATAAAGATTCATGAGACAAGAAGTTTACAAATGTAAAATTATGAACTTACTTGCTGAATACATCAGAAACTCCTCCGTAATCATTACAATTAAATGGTTCACCATCATTATCATCACCATTTTTAGTTACCTTTTTCGAACAGTCACGACAATAAAAAGAATACCATCCTTCCTCTAAATCGAAACCGATTATAGTAGCAATGATAGACAAAAATACATACATATATATATATATATATATATATATATATATATTATATATATATATATGTATATATATATATAGACACACACACACACATACATTAAAAAAATTGTTATATATAATGGAAAAATATGAATAATATTAAGTATACCTCATTGTAATCTGGAATATCATCAATGTCTTTGATTGGAAAACAGAGGTAGTAATCTTCTGGGTTGGTCACAACAGTTTCTGTGTTAAGTTGTGTAGTATTAATGGAAGACTCAACATTCAAATCGATATCAGCAATGCTACATATAAGAAGGAAAAATGAAGAAGATCAAAAATAATAATAATTATTGATTAAGAATAAGTAACATAAAACAGTAAATAATTATATCATAGTCATCAAATACATACGCCTTTTTAAATTTTGAAATATGATGCATATCATCATTAATATGCAATCTCAACCCAAATAAACAGTTACCGACTTGTGGCTGACCTATAAATAGCAATTGAAGTAATATATTATTTCATATTATAAATAAAATGTTAATGTAATGAGCATAGACATCTAAAAATAATTATTCTTACCACCCCAAGTTTTGAGCTTTGCCATACGTAGGAGGATGATCACAAGAGCATTTTCATTTTGATGTTCAGATATGTAGCTGTTCAATTTCAATGCAAAACCATCCCACAAAGCAACTTGCATTTTCCTACCACTATAATTCATTGTTTGGGTTATATGAATAAAATATTAAACATGATAAATTAATGAAAAATAAAGAAAAGTACCTCATATCTTGTGCAACAATACTCAATAGCCTTGTTTCCCTTGCATTCTTCTTAATCACTCTCATGGGTTCAGTAGACACAACTTGACCAATAAAATCTACAAAAAGTAAATTTGAATCAATTATTATAATATAAATTGGTTAAAAAATATATAATATAATAAATGCAAAATTGTTAAGGGAAAAAAACTCACCAAATGCAACACGAGTGTCAAAATTTCTGGCTGTCAGATCATGAAACCTCACAAAATTAAAAGGATCGATCCTATCAACAAAAGGAGTTGATACACGAATTGTGGTTGTTTTGTAGAAATTTATCTTATGCCTGTGAGCAACCAACATGTAATCTCCTTCGTTTCTTCTCATACCAAAGTTAGTGATTTGCCTTACAGCTCCTTCTTCCAGGAGGGCTTGAAATGCATTTATGAGATTTTTTTTATTGTTGCATGTATTCTAGTGCCCTGTAGGTGATAAAGAATATTACTATATGAAACAAAAATAAAACATAAGTTTTTTTCATATTATTTTAATCTTACCTCCTGGTCCATTAAAATCATGTCCAAGCTGCTGACCATGTTTGAGTTGTTTTGGTATGTCTGTTTCCAAATCATGACAACTTGAACACGAATATTCCATGATTCTTTGGAGGAATCTATGTCAGCCAACTTATCAATGACGAATTCAATGTCACTGTTATGTGTCATTTCGCTTGTGCTATGAGAAATAGAAAAGTATTAGAGATAATTATGAGATATAGTGAAAAAAGTAATTCAAAGATTCACAAGGTTTTTGTTTAATGTAAATATGATGTTGTTTAATTAACATAGACATTCTTCACTGGCAAACTTAACCATGAAAAAACAAAAATAAACATTAATTGTATTTTGCAAAATAATAGTTGGCTGCAATTATGGATTAATGGAAGTAGGATGGTATCAAATCAAAACATACATAGTATGTTGATATATTTCACAGAAAACAACAAAGCAAAAAAAAAAGTATGAACACTTATCATATAGAAGGTTGTAGAAAGGAAGAAGTGTTGATAAACAACGAAATGCATACCTTTTTGCCTTTGATTAACCAAGCTAACAATTGTTTACTGTTATAAAAGGTTATACAAAGGAAGAAGTATTGATTTAATATCGTGAATATCAATATAAACGAAGAGGTAAAAACACAGATAAAACACAATAAAATACTCACGTTTTGCAGGAGCGTGAAGGAAAAATAAAAATGGGTTTTGGCGGAATATGTCATATATATGTATTGAATCCAACTTGGTTTTGGAGGGATAAGATAAAAGTCATTTTTATCTTATTCCTTAAATGTTGAATTTCAAAATGTAGTTAGGATAGATAATGTAGAACATTGTAGGATTATTTTTTAAAATTTGAAATTAGGATAATGTTGATGGTTAGTGTATTGAATCCAAGTTGGTTTTGGAGGGATAAGATAAAAGTCATTTTATCTTATCCCTTAAATGTTGAATTTCAAAATGTAGTTACGATAGATAATGTAGAACATTTTAGGATTATTTTTTAAAATTTAAAAATAGGATAATGTTGATGGTTAGTTTGGAAAAAAAGATAATTTTTGTAACAGCCCAAGAATATATTATTTACCAAAACAGCCCATGACTTTACATTTAATACCAAACAGCCCCTACTATAGATTGTTTATTATGTAAGCATTTTACAACCATAATTAATAAGATATAATTAAATGACCGGATTTGAAATTGATAAGGGTACATGATTTGAAAAGATTTAAAGATAATATTTCCTTATTAAACGATTTAATCATAAATGTCTGGAATTTTATATATTGAAACATGATATATATATATATATATATATATATATATATATATATATATATATATATATATATATATATATATATAATTATTTTGGAATGTGTTTATGATTGACGATATAATTGGAATGATAATCTGCATAAATAAGAATAAAAAGATTCATGAAAGAAATTAAAATTTGTAGAGTATGTGCTCGTGTTGACAATTATACCATTGGTCATAAGGAAATTACATTTAAACTTAAAACAAATTGACAATAATAGACTTGGTAAACATAGTTTGTTATTTAAACTTAAAACAAATTGACAATAATAGATTTGGTCAACATAGTTTGTTACGAACAATAAAAAAAATTATTGTTATAAAATCTTGTTTGTGGAATAACAAACTCAGTGGCTTAAGCCAAAGATTAAGAAGATTACCTTTAAAATTAAAACAAATTGACAATAATAGACTTGGTCAACATAGTTTGTTATTTAAACTTAAAACAAATTGACAATAATAGACTTGGTCAACATAAACATAAGTTGAGGGGAAAATATATCAAAATATGTAATAGTTAAAATTCATAAAAAGAATTCAACATAATTATGAACTTGTCTCAAATAACATGACTACTATCGTGTTATAATTAAATGAAAACAAACATAATCTTCAAAATGAAAACAACGTACTTGTCAAAGAAATCCTTAAGCAAATAATAAAAACTCAAAGAAAAATCGTCAATGATAAATGTCAAATAATCATAACTGCTAAATTTATTCGAGTTTTTCCATTTTTGGAATCTTAAGGGTATGAAGAGCAACACCATCTTTTGAGGAAGAGCATTCAAACGATTCAGTGGTGGAACAATCTCAATAGGCCGTTTCAGTGAAGTTGTTGTCGGTGTCACTGCATCAAGATTAACAACATTAATATTGTCACCTTCAACAGAAACACTCTTTTCCTATATCAAATTAATAAAACAATGTTAATTAACAACATTAATATTGTCACCGCATCAAGAATAAATGTTTATTAACAATGTTAAAATGCTAAATTATATGAATTTAATTTTACCTTAATATACTTGTTGATAGGAGTACCATTAGAATGAATATTGTTTTCTTCGTATGCAGATGAATGTTTGAAAACTGCACCAACTACAACTTCATCATCAGTCATCTTATGAACGGTGTAGGCGTGATAATTGTTCTCGAGATTAAACTTTGAAATATAAACTTTAAAAACAAACTTCCTATTAAGCATGGTATTGAACTCATCAGGGATCTTTTGGCGTCCTTGATCCTACAGAATATTATAATAAAACATGTGAGTAGTTAATAAATCCCGATTAAAATAAAATACAATAACAATATATAGTTAACTTGTCGTGTGTACAAATTAAAAGAATAGTATAATATAACGCTACCTTTGATATCTTTTCCATCAACCAATGATTACCGCGGTGAATAAGATCTTTAACATGACGGTCAAACAATACAAAAGAAGCAGACCCAGTTTCATCTTGAACACGTATTACCACCCTTACCTTAAATATTATTGTATGACATGTTAGTGGACAATGAAATAAAAATTGAAACATTGTAATAAAGATTCATGAGACAAGAAGTTTACAAATGTAAAATTATGAACTTACTTGCTGAATACATCAGAAACTCCTCCGTAATCATTACAATTAAATGGTTCACCATCACTATCATCACCATTTTTAGTTACCTTTTTCGAACAGTCACGACAATAAAAAGAATACCATCCTTCCTCTAAATCGAAACCGATTATAGTAGCAATGATAGACAAAAATACATACATACATATATATATATATATATATATATATATAGACACACACACACACATACATTAAAAAAATTGTTATATATAATGGAAAAATATGAATAATATTAAGTATACCTCATTGTAATCTGGAATATCATCAATGTCTTTGATTGGAAAACAGAGGTAGTAATCTTCTGGGTTGGTCACAACAGTTTCTGTGTTAAGTTGTGTAGTATTAATGGAAGACTCAACATTCAAATCGATATCAGCAATGCTACATATAAGAAGGAAAAATGAAGAAGATCAACAATAATAATAATTATTGATTAAGAATAAGTAAACATAAAACAGTAAATAATTATATCATAGTCATCAAATACATACGCCTTTTTAAATTTTGAAATATGATGCATATCATCATTAATATGCAATCTCAACCCAAATAAACAGTTACCGACTTGTGGCTGACCTATAAATAGCAATTGAAGTAATATATTATTTCATATTATAAATAAAATGTTAATGTAATGAGCATAGACATCTAAAAATAATTATTCTTACCACCCCAAGTTTTGAGCTTTGCCATACGTAGGAGGATGATCACAAGAGCATTTTCATTTTGATGTTCAGATATGTAGCTGTTCAATTTCAATGCAAAACCATCCCACAAAGCAACTTGCATTTTCCTACCACTATAATTCATTGTTTGGGTTATATGAATAAAATATTAAACATGATAAATTAATGAAAAATAAAGAAAAGTACCTCATATCTTGTGCAACAATACTCAATAGCCTTGTTTCCCTTGCATTCTTCTTAATCACTCTCATGGGTTCAGTAGACACAACTTGACCAATAAAATCTACAAAAAGTAAATTTGAATCAATTATTATAATATAAATTGGTTAAAAAATATATAATATAATAAATGCAAAATTGTTAAGGGAAAAAAAACTCACCAAATGCAACACGAGTGTCAAAATTTATGGCTGTCAGATCATGAAAACTCACAAAATTAAAAGGATCGATCCTATCAACAAAAGGAGTTGATACACGAATTGTGGTTGTTTTGTAGAAATTTATCTTATGCCTGTGAGCAACCAACATGTAATCTCCTTCGTTTCTTCTCATACCAAAGTTAGTGATTTGCCTTACAACTCCTTCTTCCAGGAGGGCTTGAAATGCATTTATGAGATTTTTTTTATTGTTGCATGTATTCTAGTGCCCTGTAGGTGATAAAGAATATTACTATATGAAACAAAAATAAAACATAAGTTTTTTTCATATTATTTTAATCTTACCTCCTGGTCCATTAAAATCATGTCCAAGCTGCTGACCATGTTTGAGTTGTTTTGGTATGTCTGTTTCCAAATCATGACAACTTGAACACGAATATTCCATGATTCTTTGGAGGAATCTATGTCAGCCAACTTATCAATGACGAATTCAATGTCACTGTTATGTGTCATTTCGCTTGTGCTATGAGAAATAGAAAAGTATTAGAGATAATTATGAGATATAGTGAAAAAAGTAATTCAAAGATTCACAAGGTTTTTGTTTAATGTAAATATGATGTTGTTTAATTAACATAGACATTCTTCACTGGCAAACTTAACCATGAAAAAACAAAAATAAACATTAATTGTATTTTGCAAAATAATAGTTGGCTACAATTATGGATTAATGGAAGTAGGATGGTATCAAATCAAAACATACATAGTATGTTGATATATTTCACAGAAAACAACAAAGCAAAAAAAAAAAGTATGAACACTTATCATATAGAAGGTTGTAGAAAGGAAGAAGTGTTGATAAACAACGAAATGCATACCTTTTTGCCTTTGATTAACCAAGCTAACAATTGTTTACTGTTATAGAAGGTTATACAAAGGAAGAAGTATTGATTTAATATCGTGAATATCAATATAAACGAAGAGGTAAAAACACAGATAAAACACAATAAAATACTCACGTTTTGCAGGAGCGTGAAGGAAAAATAAAAATGGGTTTTGGCGGAATATGTCATATATATGTATTGAATCCAACTTGGTTTTGGAGGGATAAGATAAAAGTCATTTTTATCTTATTCCTTAAATGTTGAATTTCAAAATGTAGTTAGGATAGATAATGTAGAACATTGTAGGATTATTTTTTAAAATTTGAAATTAGGATAATGTTGATGGTTAGTGTATTGAATCCAAGTTGGTTTTGGAGGGATAAGATAAAAGTCATTTTTATCTTATCCCTTAAATGTTGAATTTCAAAATGTAGTTACGATAGATAATGTAGAACATTTTAGGATTATTTTTTAAAATTTAAAAATAGGATAATGTTGATGGTTAGTTTGGAAAAAAAGATAATTTTTGTAACAGCCCAAGAATATATTATTTACCAAAACAGCCCATGACTTTACATTTAATACCAAACAACCCCTACTATAGATTGTTTATTATGTAAGCATTTTACAACCATAATTAATAAGATATAATTAAATGACCGGATTTGAAATTGATAAGGGTACATGATTTTGAAAAGATTTAAAGATAATATTTCCTTATTAAACGATTTAATCATAAATGTCTGGAATTTTATATATTGAAACATGATATATATATATATATATATATATATATATATATATATATATATATATATATAAATATATATATATATATATAATTATTTTGGAATGTTTATGATTGACGATATAATTGGAATGATAATCTGCATAAATAAGAATAAAAAGATTCATGAAAGAAATTAAAATTTGTAGAGTATGTGCTCGTGTTGACAATTATACCATTGGTCATAAGGAAATTACATTTAAACTTAAAACAAATTGACAATAATAGACTTGGTAAACATAGTTTGTTATTTAAACTTAAAACAAATTGACAATAATAGATTTGGTCAACATAGTTTGTTACGAACAATAAAAAAAAATTATTGTTATAAAATCTTGTTTGTGGAATAACAAACTCAGTGGCTTAAGCCAAAGATTAAGAAGATTACCTTTAAAATTAAAACAAATTGACAATAATAGACTTGGTCAACATAGTTTGTTATTTAAACTTAAAACAAATTGACAATAATAGACTTGGTCAACATAAACATAAGTTGAGGGGAAAATATATCAAAATATGTAATAGTTAAAATTCATAAAAAGAATTCAACATAATTATGAACTTGTCTCAAATAACATGACTACTATCGTGTTATAATTAAATGAAAACAAACATAATCTTCAAAATGAAAACAACGTACTTGTCAAAGAAATCCTTAAGCAAATAATAAAAACTCAAAGAAAAATCGTCAATGATAAATGTCAAATAATCATAACTGCTAAATTTATTCGAGTTTTTCCATTTTTGGAATCTTAAGGGTATGAAGAGCAACACCATCTTTTGAGGAAGAGCATTCAAACGATTCAGTGGTGGAACAATCTCAATAGGCCGTTTCAGTGAAGTTGTTGTCGGTGTCACTGCATCAAGATTAACAACATTAATATTGTCACCTTCAACAGAAACACTCTTTTCCTATATCAAATTAATAAAACAATGTTAATTAACAACATTAATATTGTCACCGCATCAAGAATAAATGTTTATTAACAATGTTAAAATGCTAAATTATATGAATTTAATTTTACCTTAATATACTTGTTGATAGGAGTACCATTAGAATGAATATTGTTTTCTTCGTATGCAGATGAATGTTTGAAAACTGCACCAACTACAACTTCATCATCAGTCATCTTATGAACGGTGTAGGCGTGATAATTGTTCTCGAGATTAAACTTTGAAATATAAACTTTAAAAACAAAATATGTTGAGTCTAACAAAGTTGATAACAAAGTTGATAACCAAGTTAAAGTTAATATTGAATATATTATACGATATAATCCCATAATTTAAGTCTAACAAAATGTTGATAAATGGAATGTTGAATATATTTTTAAATATTAAAGATAATGCTAATCTTTAACATGTTAAAGATAATATTTAATATATTATACGATATAATCCCATAATTTAAGCCTAACAAAAAGTTGATAAATGGAATATTGAATATATTTTTAAAAATTAAAGACAATGCTGATCTTTACCAAGTTAAAGATAATATTGAATATATTATACGATATAGCCCCATAATTTAAGCCTAACAAAAAGTTGATAAATAGAATGTTGAATATATTTTTAAAAATTAAAGATAATGATAATCTTTACCAAGTTAAAGATAATATTGAATATATTATACGACATAATCTCATAACTTAAGCCTAACAAAAAGTTGATAAATAGAATATTGAATATATTTTTAAAAATTGTATACATAATTAATCTATCACAATACATAAAAAAATTGATCTAAGTCATGATTGATTGATTGTGGTCATATGCAGCCATTTCTGATGAAATATAAATAAATGACGAAAAGACCCATGTCACAAGTATGTATATAGGTATGTTGTTAAAAGTGTTGGTCATTTTTTACATAAGTGAATTTTGAGTTTGTTTATACGGGCAACAATGGTACTTCAATATTTGTAGTTTAATCATTTTGTATTGTACACAGAAAATAAAACATGAGTTTATGATTAAAAGAATAAATAAAAAAACTAATAAATCATAGAGTTATATAAAATATTTAAATACTCCATTACAAAAAACAACTATGTTCGAATGCAAATTAATATATATATATATATATATATATATATATATATATATTATATATATATATATATATATATATATATATATATATATATATAGGAGTAGGATCAAATGAGAACACCTAAAAGGTTGAGAACGCGAGAACAGATCTGAACCATTTAAAAAACTAAATCTAAGGTTATTATCGAATGGGTCATTTATGTAAATTCTTAAAATTAAAGGAATTAAAGTGTAACTTTAAAATTGTGATAAGGGTACAACAGTAATTAAAACTTTAGCTAACTCCTAAAATTTCTCAATTCTCGTCTATTTCCTTTCATATTCCCGTCTTTTTCTTTCTCCCTTGGATACATAGGGCTTCATGGTTAGTTCCGCCTCCTCATCGGCTCATCCATGCTTCATCTGCTTCGAATCAATCCAACCGACTCACAATCGCTTTTTCCCCAATTCGGGAAAGAAAGTGGTAGCGGAAGGACCCCTGCATCGACATCGACGACAGTGGATGCATATATCGATCGACGCTGACTTCATTCTCTCCTCTGGAAGCCTTCCATGCCCGTTGAGATCTCCGACGCTCCCCTTTCTTGCACCACGAGTCGCTCCCCTTTTTTCTATCCCTCTACCACCACCCGTCTTCGACGTCGTCATCACACTCACAACTTCAAAGGTACATCGATTCTCTATTTCCACATTTTTAACTGTGTGATTTATCACATTCTTGCTTTCTTGATTTCAATGTTGGGATTAATCGATCCGCTCATGTGCTTTGTATTCCGTCAACGACACCTCTCTCCGTTAGCAGCTCTTTTGTTTGTCACTGGTCATTGTTTCCTCACTTATTAACTTCATCTCAGTTCCTTGTATGCTATTTGGTTCATTTATGTTTGTGAAGAATAACTCTCTATTTTCTCCATTACACATGCCTATAAGGTGTTCGATGAAATGTGTGAGCCAGTTAAGGTATTCATTCCAATTTACTTTACTTGATTGAGTAATTTATACTATGATATTAATTTATGATTAGAAGTGTATTCATTTTTTGTTAATGATATATATATATATATATATATATATATATATATATATATATATATATATATATATATATATATTCATGTATGAATATAATTACAAGTATAGGAATTCATATGTATTTTATTTTTGTTCATGTCTCATATTAATTTATGATTAGAAGTGTATTCATATGTAATATATTCATGTATGAATATAATTACAATTATAGGAATTTATATTTATTTTTTATTTTGTTCATGTCTCTTCATTTATAATTTGATACCATATGTGTTTTTCTAAATCCTTTTCATTTAATTGATTGTTAATTTTATTTATTTCTTTATTTGATAGTGTGTAGAGGAAATCGAGATACATCTACAAACGCGATGTTGGACTGCTATTATACAACAAAACAATACAAAGTGGAAAAGATATCGTCTTATTCATTTATGATTATATAATAATAGTTAATTATTTTTATTCGAATTTTTGTTTATGTTGTATTCATATGTGATTATAGAAAAATAGATATGTATTACATTGTAACTTTTTGTGTTACTATTATTTATGAATAGATGTATAATCTAGATATATATCCAATATGTTTTTATTTATTTATGATTATAGTTCTATTGTAATTTTTCTCTATAAATTGTGTTATATTCGTTTATTATTACAACTTAATTCATCTATTCATTCACGATTATAGCGGATTCATATATGATTACAAATATGTTTTATTTTTGTATGATTACACATATTCGGTTGAAATGATAAATTCATCAATCTTTTTGATATACCGGTAAAAAAAATTAAAAAAAAAAGTTTTTTAATCATGGTAAAAAAGTTTTTTTCTTTTTTTTAATAATCTATTTGATGAAAGATAGATTAAATTCATTTATAATATTTAGGTAAAAAATAATTAATTAGACAACATCCCATGATTTTAGGAAATCATTAATTATCCATATTTAATTACATTGTAAAATTTCTTTTACGCCCTTATGGAATGATTGGTCTACAATTGTTCTCGCGTTCTCAACCTTTTAGGTGTTCTCATTTGATCCTCTCCCTATATATATATATATATATATATATATATATATATATATATATATATATATATATATATATAATATATATATATGTATATATATATATAATATATATATATATATATATATATATATATATATATATAATCACAAATATCTACTTGGCATAGTCACTGTATCAAAATCAGAACGAATTGAGAAAACTTGTTGAGAAGAATGTGTCGGAACCACATACTCAATCGTATTTCCTTCAAAGAAATATAGGGTATTGCTTCTATAATCTCACCATTCATGTGCACCTTCATTGTAAGTATTAACATCTACTTTAACCCACCGATTGTGAATGAAAACCCAAATATCCCACAAACAATCTCCAATTATAGAGAAATATCCCAATTTTCCGTGAAACTTGATCAGTCTCGATGTATACGGTTTGAAGTCATTAATAGTAGAAGGTGCAAATATGAGTATATGTTCTTCCGAATAAATATCAAATCGCAATATGGTATCGTTAGATAATAAGAAGTAAACGACACCGCTACTTGTAACTGCCTCATCAGAAACAGGATAAACAGATGATGGTAACTAGATATTTTGAAACTCCCTCCATTGTCATGTAGTAAATGAAAACAATTCTATGTTGTAGTAATCGTAGTCCACTTTTTCCTTAAGCATATCACTACAAACAAAATAACATATAAGTAAAAAATAAAGTAAATTAATAACATAAAATATACGACATATAAACTCTTACGATGACATTGTGTTTGACAATCGAATGACCTTGAAATGTAACGGGTTCGAACTGATAACTACCAAAACAAACTTTACCGTAGTGTATTCAGAGCTCGGAAACGATATCCTTTTTGGCATCTGTAGTCGTTGGTTTCAAAACAAATAAAAGCTTTGAAATGTATTCATTTGGATCATAGGATTCAGCAAGAAGGAGTCCGCACAAGGATGATGCTAAAATCATACAAGTATGTGGTAGCCAATCAATGTCAAGATTGTTGCGAGCAGAAGACGGAACAAACTGACACTCTATATTTCCCCATGGTTTTTTTTGTTGAACGATAACTCCACAAACCATATTATTTCTATGCTTGTGGTTATGAAGAACATGGTTGTTGTATGTTAGATTTCTATAATATTTATTTGTACAACGTATAGTAACAAATGTTTGTAATGATGTTCGTGAAAGAATTTCAATAATTAGTTCAGAAGTCAATAATGATAACTGCAAAAGAAAGAAATAATAAGATAATAATATTAGAAAAACTTGAAATTTAATCTTTCATGACATACGAATTGAAATGATAATAAGTATACTGTTTGTAGTATTGATGGTAAAGAATTTTACCCAATCCATTTTCAATATTTTTTCCAATTCATCAATGATTGTATTGTTAGACGTGATCCTTGAGATAGAATAACCTTCTTTTTTGTTCTTCAAATTGTCATGTGAAATTTGAATTTTGAACGCCATCTTTTTTTTCAATAGTATATTCAGAGCAGATGGATAAATTTCGTTATTACCATCCTAAAAAAAGAACGTTTATAAAAATAAATATACAAAATAATAAATTTGTTTTATGTAAATGAAGTTAATATCGATAACCTCATAAAACTGATGAACCAACTTTTGTGCGTTTTTTTATAAGCTTCTTTGCGTCACAATCATATAAAGTAAGTGACACCGAACCGGTAATATCTTCAACTATAATGGTGATTTTCAAACAGAAAGCATTGATGTAAAGAGATTTAGTAATATAAATTTATATAATTTAGCAGAACAATATAATAATATTTATAAAATAAGTTTCAAAACCTGGGAACAACATAAATGACTTTGTTCATGCAGCTTGAAGTGTTACAATAAAAAATTTCTTTATCTTGAAACTGATCATCATGGGTTAAAATTTGTTTTACGGCTTTTTGTTGACATCTAGTACAAGTAAAACAATACCAATCCCCTTCAGCACATACTTTCTTAATCGTACCGACAATAA